TCTCCTATGGAGAGTATGCTGCAGGGATGTAGGGGTGCTTTGGGACCCTCAATTTGAGAGACTTATTTAAGCAAAACTTGAGAGTGCAGGAAAGTATACCCCACCAATATAATTTGTGTATGAAGAGTAGTAGCTGGTGCTAGTGCTGTCCAGTGATAAATTTATGAAATTACCATGTAATCTATGGAAGGATCTTACATTGCATGACAGATTCTTCTGCTAAGAAACAAATGATTAGAGGAGACATTGCCTTTGACTAAGGGGGACTTTCCTGAAGGTAGAGTGGGGCCAAGATGTTCCACTTGCTGTGTGTCTGGTGTCTTGATGAATATGATCCTTGTTACTTGGTTAGATAAATTGTGCTTTCAATGGGATCATATAAATACATAGTTTGTTTGTTTTAGACTGGTACCATTCAAACCTAAGAAGGGGACCTCTTATACATGGTCAGTTTATACAATTCAATCATTTGGATTCAAAATCATGAGAAACCTTTCTGATCTGGCCTTCAAAGAAAATAATAATGAGATTACTTAGGACTCCAAAAGACCCCTTATTTGCTGAGCCCCTGCTGCTCAGTGTCATTAAAGCTTACCCGTATGTCTGCTCTCCTAAGTAATCCTTTTAATCCTCTATGTTCCTTTTCTCTTGGGTTCTTTTTCTGAATTAGTCTCACACCACTTACCTGTGTTTCTCTCCTTCCTCTCTCTCTTCTCTGTTCTTTTTTATAGAATAATGAATAAATTCACTTTGGCTTCTAATCAAAAATCCTTGGGGCTTATTTTTTTTTATTTTTTATTTTTGAAAAAAAAGGGACGGGTCCTCCCATGATCATCTTCAGGCCAAAAATCTCCATTCAATTGAATGAATGAGGCTAGTGTATCACAGCTCATTCTCCAGTGCTCTGCAAATAGTTGACAATCCAGTTAGAGTTCAAAGGATAAAATCCTTTTTAATTCAATTTTACTTTCTCTCTTTCCTCACAAACTTCAACTGGAATAAAATGAGCCACTTGGGTATTCAACAGCATGAGAGGAATTAAATAACTAGGTACAACTAGGACTGAGTTGCGGGTCCTCAAATGGGTGTTTTGAAAAAGCAGAGACACATGTTTTTGACCGGAGAGAACGAGTGACATGAGAAAAAAGAAAAAAAGGAAGGTGACAGGGAAATTCTCAGCACATTCAAGTAGTATAATTTCTTTTCTTTTTTGTGTACCAAGGCATGGATTTTTCTTTGGCCCTATTTTTGTTAACGTTCAGACTCAGAGATCAACTGTCCTAAGATGGATGAATGAATCTCCAGTAGCTGAATCACTGTCACAGTAGAGTCAAGAAGCTGGGCATAATACAGGGGGAAAAAATGGCATCTTTCTTTTATGTGCAAAATAGTTGAAAAAGGTGACAAAATGGCCTCACAAGATGTGTGGGTATATGGGGGTTCAAAGTTGCACCACTGTTGTCAACAACCCCAAACCAGCCGACATCACCGACGCTTGTCTATATGTTAAGTGCTTCTAAGAATGCGTACACAGCATAGAGTAGAGGGGGATCCTCAAGCAGGAGGCGAATGGAGCCTGGCGAAAAAGGAAAATACAATTTTCCTTTTCATTGCGACTGTTGAGCGACCTATATATTCATTTTCATAGAGAACCTTCTATATTCTGTCTTTCTGGACGGCCTGTTTTTTCTCTGGGATGGTTCTAAGCTTCTGGTTAATGAAATTCAGACTATTAGTCTCTGCAAGAGAGAAATGAATGAAAAAAAAAGTGAATGGGTAGAAGAGAGAACGAAAGAACTGACAATTATAAAAATGATGAGAGTAAGACGGCAAGCCAAGGCCGCCCTTACTATTTTTCATGACGGCGACCAAGGGTTTATGGAGGGCAGCGTTGGAGTTTTTAGGGTCACCGATAGTTTCACCGAGGGACCAACCCATCTTGGTGAGCAATTTAAACCCAACGTTTTCCGCCCCGATGTGCTTCACACCTTGGCCAACAATCGCGCCCTCCCGGTTTCGGGGCACCAGCCCCATCGATCGCGCCGCCGCATTGCGGCTCCCCGGTCCCCCTTGATTCGTGAATTGGTTCAGGATTTGGAACAACGGTGTTCTCGTCTTTAAGATGTGCGTCGTCCGTTCCGTTCGTGTTAAAACAGGATATCTGCGCTTTCCGGAACCATAAGACTAGCCAGAAAACAACAAAAAAAATACCCAGCTTGCTCAGCTCTCGATGCAACCAAGGCCGAATAACAAATTTTACCTGGCTTTTCATCTTGTAAAGGTGTGCAATTTCGTGAATAGCAACTCTAGACTTCTTGTCCACAGGGGGCAAAGTCAAGGTCTTCTCTTCAGTGTTGAAGCAGATAAAATCTCGAATCATGTCATGTAGCTTTGGCACATCGGGTGGAGGAGTGTCATCCTGTCTTTTCTCGGCTTTCTTCCTTTGCTTTTTGGTCTTCGGTGAGCTTTGACGACGCGCCTCGGCTCGGGCTTTCTTCCGTTCTGCCTTCTTGGCTATGTCCATCCTCCACTTCTTCTGTAAATCATCTACGAATTCGATCAACTCTGCATCCGAATCTTTGTTGTTCGTCCCTTTCTTTTCTTTTAGTTTCTCCTTCCCATCTTTCATTGGCAAATCAAAAATACCAAAAGGATCAGCCTCGAGCAAAATAAGATAAACACGGGATGTTCATAAGGAATGTACCTAAACCACCCTCGATAATTGCTAAAGCCTCTTCTTCAGATTCAGAGACATCGCTTGATTCAGGAGATAACTCTACCGACGTCTCGAGCGTTTTATCCAATAAATTCTCGGTTTCTGGGGCCTGAGTAGTAGAAACAAACACTGTTGGTTTGATGTGATCCTAGGGAATAAAAATTGCCGATCGGGGCCATGCTTACCTCTTCGTCATTGGAGCTGTCATCACTTGATTCCGAGGCTGAAGTGGTTGACGCCCAGATCAGCCGTAGTTAACAGCATATTTTTTATTAGCCCTGACAGCAAGAAAATGATAGTATGAGAAAACGAACCAGTGGGCTGCTCCTCCGAGTCTGTCATGTAAACATGTTCGAATGGCTCCTCGGGAGGCTCAGACTCGGGACTTCCCCAGGGTTTGTCATCGCTCTTACCGTCGATGTCATCCTGGACATCTTGGTCGAGCTCATCGATCGTGGTGTGCTTCTTCTGGGCAGCCATCCCATCCATGAAGGTCTTCGTGAAGGGATCGTTGAGGAACTTGGTTGTGGAACTTGGGTCGTCTGGCTCATCCCCGGATGCGGCCTCAGCCATCATCGCATGTTTGATATAATCCTTGCACAGCTCCATATCTTCCTTGTCTTTAAGAGTACGTCGCTGAGCCTTATTTGACAAGGCCTGCAACGCTTTTTCGCGCATTCCGGGTGTCATAAGCGGCTCCTGTGCACTATCATCGCCACGATCGATGTCACTGCCACTCTCGATACTCCCGGGGCGATCTATAGTCGAATCCGGTTGACCTCCTTGAGCACTTTTTCGTCTTTCTTTCCTTGCATCACGTTTGCGAGCCTTAATCGCTTGTTTTGAGGGTTTAGATATCAGAGATTTAGACTGGGCTGGGTTGGAATCTGACCCGGTGTGGGCATCAGAGACCAACAATTTGAGTGGAACCTCATCTGTAATGGTGCGGAAGAGATGAGATTCGCTAGTATGGGATTCCGAGGTAGCACTGAGATCGGGCTGAAATACGATCCGCTCTTCCTCTTCATCCGTCTCTTTGTTGATCAGTGAATGAAGTTTGGATACTGGCATGTAAGAGGTTGAGGGCTTATTATTCGGATTCCCCTCGGCATCGATGAAAAATGGAGCTCCCAGAGAGACTGGATCAGATGCGGCAGTAGATTTCGAAGCTGGCATGACCGAGTCAGAGGGGACCTCAGAAACTGGCTGAGGCACCTTGTCTGGAACAACTCCAGCCGACGGTGAGGCAGGGTCGCCTTGGAAGCCGACGGCCGCTGGGGATGGTTTCGACGGCAAAGAAGCATCGCTCCCCTGGGCGTCAGATGTAGCTGGCTGGAAAGCAGTGATCGAGCATTTCTTGTAAAAAATGCCCGGGAAGTCGGTCTGCCATTGTTCAAGCGATGCTGGAGTGACCTCCTCGATTTCCAGTAGACGATCGCTCGGAGAAGTGGGTGCGGGCTCGCAGGTTTCTGCGGCAAGTGGGGGTTTGACTTGACTTTCGGGCTCCTGCTGTGCTCCGGGTTCGTTTGAACCGTCTCGCAGCTTCTCCTTTGGAATATTTTCCACGGCCTTGTCGGTTAATGCTGTGGCCTTGACGAACTTAATTGGAATCCATAATCTAGGGTCGCTTGTCCCACGATTGGTTCGTGGAGGTTCTTCTCCTAGTCGAGGAAGATTGACTGGAGGTCTGTTGGAGGTGTTGGCGTGGAAGCCAAGGCCACCACCTCGGGGGGCAGGGGGCTGGGAAAACTTGTTTCGCGGAGGATATCCTCGAGGGGAGGATGTCCCGGATCCACCGGAGCTATTTGGAACAGCTGAAGAAGCACAGGGTGACACAAGATAAATAAATTAGTGATCGAATTGAATTGTTTGAAATGAGATGAGATTTGACAAACACCATGAGTTCTGCCCTCCTCGACCCCAGCTGCCACGACCACGAGCCCTGCTTGCATGGGGATGTTGATAAACACCGGTTGGAGCTACTGTCAATGGGTTTTGCTCGAGTGGGCTTGGATTGAAATCAGTGCCAAAAGTGGTTCCACCCCGTCCTCGCCCTCGTCCAAAGTGTCCCCCGCCCCTGCCTCGACCACGATAGGGTCCAGGGGAGTTGTCCTGGTCCCTATTGAAGTGTCCACGATAACTCATCGTTCTCTTCCTACTCGAATTGGTGGTTCGCAAAATCCGAGTTGAGATAAAACCTCGCCGCTGAGCCAGAAGAGTATCGAATACGGTCAAGAGCAGCTGAATGTCGAACCATTATCTGAAAAGCCTACGCACGCATGAAGCTGAGATGTCCGAGCGGTCTAAGGAGCTGGATTCAAGCTTAGCTTTCACGCGCACGTGAAAATCCCAGTAGGGTAACCTGCGGGGGTTCGAATCCCCCTCTCAGCAGGATATTTTGAATTGTGCTGTGCAGACAGAGACTTCCACTTGGGCAGCTGCAGTCGCACAAGGTAGCAACAATGCCTGCAAGTGTTCAGATCAGTATTTATCTTTTTTTCAGGCCTTACAACTCCCAGGATTTGGACAATCAACTTCCATAACATTGAGGACATTGAGTTTGGGAGTTGTCTGTCTGATTTGCTCCTGCTCCATGGGAGTCATGATGCTGAAACTCCCAAGAAGTGCCAAAAACAAAAAAGAATTCATCTAATGCAAGCCCCAGCACAATATGAAATTGGGAGCATGGTAGAGGTGCCAAATTGTATTGTTCCTACAATTTTCAGAGTGATCCCATGTATAAAATTGAAGAATGATCAAAAGTGTACAGGTATTTTGTACCAAATTACTACTGTTCCACACAAGTGGTACACATTACTTAATCTGAATCAGTGCCCCCAAGGGCCAATTTTTTTTTCAAGAATTGAGGTTTGCTCCTTAAATAAATTCCCAAAAATTGCACATCATATGCAAAATTAATCATAGAGGTGTACACATGTTTTGGGCCAAATTATTACTTTTACAAAATATGTAACTCATAAATTTTCAATGAGTCCCCCCAAGGCCCTGATTTCAAATATCAGTAAAACCCGTTTAATCTATTCTAGAGGATGGGTGGCCTTAGAAAATTTATAAAACCTGACTAAGATTGTTTTCTCTGGGCAAGTCTTCTTCAGCACTTGAAGAATAGCCAATGGTTTGAGCCCTGCTTCACCAAGCCTTTCATTTTATTTTTAGAGATCTTGAGTGAGTATTCAGCACTGCAAAAAAGAAAACTGGCTCAACTGCCTGTAGTTGACATGCAGCATGCTCCAGCCAAGCTGTCATCCAAACTCCACCTGTTTGAGCAGATTCAATAGCAAAGGAGGCTGAAAAAATTTGTGATGAGGATCCTTGATTGAGTATGATGCTGCAAAGGTTCCTTCCTTCACTCAAGTTTTGGTGACCTGTATTGAGTAATGCTAAACTTGGCATGATGGAAGTTAGGTGGTGGCCAAAGAGCTATGCGTGCCAAATTTTGTCAGGAAAACATCACAGCCTTTACGTCCATTGCCGACATTCTGAAATCCAGTTTAGGACCTGTTGGACTTGACAAGAGTAAAAAAAGAAATTGAGGTTTCCAATCAATAGGGGGTATCAAATATGACAAAATCCACCTTCAAAACCCATTGATTAGAAATCATCAAATCCACAATTTCTAATTGA